ATCTTCAGTAATAAGGCAAGTCAACCATCAGGCAGCAACTAAAGGGAGAAGGTGATCAGAGTTTTAATAACGTCCTTCTCTGCACTTGTCACGTTTTCTCTCATTATTTGCAATACTGTGTCGCTTTAAGGTGCCAGCCCATGACTGGGGCGCTGCTGTGTCAGGCATGATAGGGTCATTTATGCAAAGAAAGTTCCTGCTCCAGAGCTCTTCCACAGTCTAACTTTAAGCCTTCACTCCCGGTCTCATTGAACTCAGTGGATGGGGGACAATTCCAGAGCAATGGGCTGAGCTACTGAAAAGGTGTCAGCTGATGTACTTACACATTTTGGGGACTGACCCAACTCCAATTAAAGTCAAAGGAAAGATTCACAATGTCTTCAGACAGAGTTCAGCCAGGCTCGTCCCTCAAGCCAGTCAGCCAAAGATTAACAGATGCCCAGCTGTGCTGCTAAGAGGAGCTCACCCTCCTCTCTGTAGGTGGGAGTAGATGTCTTTCCCAGAGGATGTAACCCAATGAAAGGGCTGAGTCTCTAATATTAATTTCATTTTTACACAAATGCATAAAAAGGTTTATTTTCTTCCATCTCTCCAATAGCCTGTATATCGGGATAGTCCCACATGAAGAAGAGGATGTGGATCTGAGTAGCCACAGATGGGGGTGCACTCAAAAAGAAAATGTGCCTGTCTCCAACTTTCATATATAAAGTTCATTTAGGGGCTGTAGCTATTATCAATTTGGCCTGAGGAAGCTCATGTGAAAAAAACCCCAATTTTTCACACTGAAAATACGAGGTATGTGTATAGGTTCACAACGGCTAAAAGTTCCACTCTCCATTCCAAAGAATTTTTTGTTGGAATTTGATTGTCTTATTGGAATGCAAAAGGAAAAAGACAAATGATCTAGTCTTCCTTGACTGAATCCTCAGCAAAGGCAAATTTGCAGAGCTCAGAAAAAGTCAGCCTGAATTCAATCTGTAGAACCTGATCTTTGTTTATATCAAACTGCCGGCTTTGTCCTCAGCTAGGCTGGAAATGTAAGTGGTTCATCATTAAACTAGACAGATATTACAGTAATGACACTATGTCAAAACCTATCCATAAACCCACAAAAAAATCAAACGGAACAGCAATTGAAATGTTCAATTCAATCCTTCTACCAGGTTTGCTGTTTTGGCTGGTGTGTTTTGCAGGGTATTGTCTAGGGAGAGAAGGAAAGATGAAGGCAAAGTGTGGGAAAGCCAAGATGGAAGGTCACTAGGCCTAAGAAAACTAACGTGAAAAACTAAAACTTGTAAGGATGCCTCTTGAGTCTGGTTGTGAAAAAACCCCAGAAGAATGAAGGCAAATAGAGCCTGGAAAATGGCACAATTTTCCATGCAGCATGAGTAATCGTTGGATGCAATAAAGCCACGTGCGGCAAGTTTGCCATCAGAAATGACCGATTACTGAGGTGGAACGTATTCCGAACGAATCAAAATGAACAGTTATTGAACAAGTTGGAGTGGGTGATTACACAGACTGCTCCTAGCCTGATCAACTCTACATCTGAGTGCTTAAAGCCCAGACTGACTAACACACTTGAGTATATGCCTATTTTTAAGCAATTTAAGCCAACAGGGTGATTCAGTTACACATAATTACAGACATACTTTATGACTGAAGATACGACAAAGAGAGAGAAAGTTATTTTGGTATACTAATGACTGTTGGTACCTTGGGCAATATGCTGTGTGTACATGTGGCCACAAGACTCCACTGCTGTTTTGACTCCCTCTAAAGATTCAAGGTCCATGCAGTACTTTGTTTCCCACTGGAAAACCCCACTGTGGACTTTTGGAAGGCCAGCCTTTTCTGAAGGTCAGTCTACATGAGCCAAGGGATCCACATTGTGCCTAAGAACAAGCCTAATTGATTGGGGCAGCTCGGGAGAGGAGAAGGCCTGAGGGATGTTTGTAAAGCTACTGCTGCTGAGTTTCTTTGGTGAGGGACAAATGGCCTGGGCCACCTTGCGGTGGTCCTGGTATCCATGATCATTTAAACCTGCTACATTTAGTCACAGAAACAAACCTTTCTTGCCAACTCGGGGTTTCTACCCCATGAAAACAGGCTGGTTTTTTCACCCAAGCAGCAAGAATTTCCCCCAGGAGTGGGTTTATCAAGAAAGAAGGACCAAGGAATTCAAGGAGGCTATGGGTGCCCACACATCACTCTGTAAACATCACCCAGTGCATGGTGCATGTTCTGGCTCACATGATGTCTTGGTGATGCTAATCACATGCATTTTGGTTGCATTGGCCCTGAAATGCTTACTGCTGCATTCTCAGGCTCTGTGACCCATAGAAGTGCCCAACAAACTTAATTTCTCAGGGTGTTCACGTTGAACTCAACGGTAATCCAAAACTATTTGAGTTTAAAATGGCATAGAGTTAACACCGTAACTGAGCTTTTTGTGTGGCTGGTGCATAGAACGTAACTTCAAGTCTTCTTACTGCAACAGGTAAAGTCAAATTCAGGAATTGGATCCTTTCATCAGAAATTCTGGAAGAGGTCTTTGTTCATTTGGATTTTATAGCCCTGAATCTGTTCTGGAAGTGGGGGGTGCCTTTATCCGTTTCTCCTTAAAGGAACTAAGGCAGTACTTTCTCTTCTAATAAAACACTTACTGCTTTGGTTTCACCCTCTTCTAAAACAGCATAGTGGTGAGAGCATTCAGTATTGCTGAACTTAATTGTTTGTTCAAATCTCTCCTTAGATTGAATGAGTTCAAGGTCATATCTAGCCATAACACACAAAACTTTCAGTGAATTGTGTATTAGGCCCTGAGTGTACGAACTAGTACCCAGGTCTCCCAGGTCAAAATTTGATCCTGCAAGTTCAAAGCACAAACAAACCAGTTATTTAGCCTAAGTCAAGCCAACCTAACCCAACCAAACCCACATAAACACACTGGATTTTATAACTATTTCTGCAAACAGAAATATTAGGAGAGGCATTTTGACTGCATTTCACGTAGGTATTTTTTCCCTATGACCTAAAAGGTTGTCCAAACTGTTGGGTCAAGACGGGTGCAGATTTTGCAAAGGGTATGTTCAGCCTAGTGCAGCGAAGACTGATTTGTTCCATGTATTTTTATAACCCTTGTGTAACATCCAGCCATTCCCCCTGAGCTGGCATTTAACATGAAAATCCTCTAATGGGGAGAAACACACACAATGGTGGCAGCCATGGGTCTGCCTGAAAGCACGCTGGCTTCCAGGAGCTGTGGATTCTGCAGGACAAAGTCCTGTATTTATACAGAGAAGTGTTTCTGGATGGACGGCTGAAGCAAACACTTCTCACGCAGCTTTCTGCAGTTGTGGCTCAGTCACGACCCAGTGCAAACCCCCGCAGGGACGAGAGGTTTGTTCAAACTCCATGGCTCATCGGGTTCTTGGCTCCTCTGCCAATTAGCACTGGCAGTTTTCTGTGGCAGGAGACACCGGGCAATTGTTTATTCCAGTTTATATGTCATTCTAGCCCTTCACGGACCTTCACAATAAAACCCCGTTGCTAAAGAGTATAGATCCCAGTGAACCACACAGAGGAAAAAAAACAAACCCAGAGGATCACTGCAACGGGAAGGCGTTGTGCTGCAGACAGTTCTTGGGGAAACGCTGGGAACAGGCTGCTTTTTGGGATCAACTGAGAAATGCTGAAGCAGAAAGGTCATTATAACAGCAGGGACAGGACTCGGGGCAAGGATGGAGAAAAAACAGAAGGCAAGGAAGAAATCGGGTGGATGGAAGAGAAAAGAGAATCTTTTTCTGGTGCTGTATGACATAAAAAAACCAGGTCCAGAAGGGATCTGCTGAACTGCTGTGCCCAGCCCCCTGCTATTACCAGCAAGCAGCTCGTCTAACATTAAGAATTTATCATGGAGGGTTCTTTTTTGGTTGTTTCTTTTCTTTTTTTTTTTTTTTTTTGCATAACTTCTGATCACATCTCTTTCTTTTGGTGATTTTTAATTTCCTGCCTAAATTTATTCATGACCAGTGTCCTCTTACATCAATATGGCCTTTAGATAAACAGCTCGTCTCCCTCCTTACTGTTTCCTAGAATCATAGAATCACAGAATCGTTTAGGTTGGAAACGACCTCTAAGATCATCAAGTCCAACCGTTCCCCTAACCCTGCCATCCCACCACTAAACCCTGTCCCTAAGCACCGTGTCTGCCCAGATGTTAAATTTGCTCCAGCTGATAACACTGAGTTTGAAAGCAAAAGGCTATTCCAACTCCTTTATTCCCCTCATTTATCATCCCAATGGGGAAATCTCACAGTTGCAGACAGCTAGCGTGGGATACAGATCCAGATGAAAAATAGACAATAATGTTTACACAGAGATTTCCTGCTTAAACTCCTGCAGAGATCTGGTCGGTGCGATCAGTGGAGCCCAGAGAGCCATCCAAACGCAGGTGCCTTCTTCAAAGCAAGGTGAACAGCTCTCCAGACTCCAGTAAATATATTAATTAGAGCTTGATGCTCATGCTTGCACTTTACACATGTACATATCATGTATAGGTACCTACCCTGCAGATACCTAGAGTTAGTTATATGAATGTGGGTCTGACTCCCACCCTCACTGAAGGGAAAGGTTTTATTGAAGCCCTAAACACAGGACTGCAAGTCTCCTTTGAGGAGGATATCTGAGAAATTAGCACGGGACTGGAAGATGGACACAGGACTGACTGGAGCCCCAAAATCTTGTAGAGCTCCAGTTGTGTGTTTGACCTCAGAAAAGACCAGATGCTTATAAACTCGTGACCCCACTAATTTATTTTATGGCTTTTCCATACAAATTAAACCACAGAAATCATGTTTTTGTTTCGTTCAAATGAGAAGAAAAATTGCAATCCTCCCAAAGTACTGTCTGACATGTCTTTGCAAGGTAATTTTTGGTGCATTGTTTTAGAGGGGCAACAGAATAAGGTGGAAACGTCAATGTGCACGGCTACTTACTGTACTCACAAAGCAGTGTTCAGATTCTCCACTTTCAAATAGGATGACATCTTTTATGAAGACTGCAATGGCTCTCATTATGAAGGACATGAAGAGGTGCATATGAATATAATTCCGAGTACAGTGTAGTTTTCTGTTGGGAAGAGACGAAACATTTCTGAAGAGCAAGGCTTCTCAAAAGCATTATTTATCTATTTACATGTTTCTTCTGCCAAGACATAGACTTACAATTAAACATTAGAAACCCTGAGACAGACTATGGCCTGATGTAAATCACTGCAAATCCACTTAAGCCTTTTTAAATCCACAAAACATGGGGCAATCCATATATGTGCAGCAGTGTTGCCACTCTTCCAATTCTCAGAAAAAAAAGGACAAAATACAGAATGACAGAAAACAGGTCCATCACACTGCTCTCCACTGGAAAAGAAATGTTTCTGACCGAGCAAACTGTGCTCATGATAAAGGTCTGTTTTCTACAGAACGTTTGTACTGCAATAATTTGGTACGGTGAGATGTTTCTTCAGGAAGAGAAGTAAATTCTTAGCAGCTGCTGCCAAAATTAACACATCTTACAGGTTTCTGGAGAAATACAAACTATATTTTCACTTAAAAATGACTAGTATAACTGATATTGAGAACACCACCAGTGGTTTTCTGTTCCTTGCCCGCTAATATTCTGAAGATGAATCCTCTGTCCCTTGCTCGCTAATGTTCTGAAGATGAATCCTAATCAAGTAGGTCTTTTTTTTTCAAGTGAGACTTTACATCCGCTGAAGTGAAAGGCCTAGTACTCTGAAATTGGGTACTTTGTACAGCCATCAGAACCACAACAGGCCTCACTCAGCAACATGATCAAATCACCACCCCTTAATGAGTCACTGTGCATTGGCTGAGTTTATGCTCTTAATCTCTGATGATGGGAAGATAACGTGACTGAGATGAGTCCTCTGTACTTGCAGGCAAAGGCAAGCCAAATTACACTGTTTCCCACAAATGAAGACCGTGAACCCCGACAGTCCCACCAGATTGGCTGGCACCTTGTACTTTGTTGAGATGAGATAATTTCCATGTGTGTCTGATTCACTCTTCCCTTATAAGAGGAGAGCAGGGAGCACCTGTGCTGAGAAATGCAGAGACCTTGAAGGGTGAGGCTGGTCTTGGTATAAGTGTGAGAGTTACCCTAAAACATGTGGGTGGTTTCCTGCAGTTTTCTTTGGGGACGATATCTGGACCAGACTGTCATAAATTGGGCAACCATATAATGCATTTCAGGGAAGCCACTGGAGAAGGGGATGAGGAGATGGAATCACATCTACAAGGTTCTTCCACTTCACAGAGTTCTGCTTTTTGCTATTGTCCCTATAGGTAAACAACATTATAATAGGAGATTACCTTATATGCAGACTTCTTCATTGGAGATACCCAAATTTAGATGCCTGAATCTATTATAGAGACAGAGGATTGATTCATTTGCTGCTGCAATCTAGGCATCTAATGCCATTTGATATGCTGTAGAGTATCTGCCCATAAATCCAGGAGGGCCTGGGTCTCCTGAAGGTCCTGCATCATATCTGCTACCTTTGTGCATATCTCAGAGGCTCCAGCGTGTCTAAAATGGCTCTGGGTGTCTATGTCTTGCCATAGAGCTATAGCAGGAAGCGCTTCTGAAACAGGCTTTGGGAGGTTGTTTTGGGGTGTGATTCACCTGTACCATTCTGAATACCTACTTTAGTAAAAATGCATCATTCCATAGTATCCGTATATACCATACTGACTAGGTCTCTGTGGACTATAACAGGGTTATGGGATAATGGCCTCTAGTACAGAGATCCATCACATGACATTCTACATTTAGTGAGATGGATCCCACCTAAATAATTGGATTGGGGTTATAACTCTCACACAAAGACCACAAATCACATACCAGAAGACAGTGGTACCAAAAGATAGAGGAACTTTCCTCCCTGTCCAACTGAGACTTGACAGAAGTCTTTTGCATCCATCTGTAACACTCATAGCCTATAATGTAAACAGCCACTATGCCCTTTGAGTCATCATCCCCTTACCTATGCCTTTTCTGCTCATGGTCTTACCTGAAGAGACATAAAATGATCATAGCAGCTGTGAGAGCAATGAGTGATAAGGTATGTCCAATGGTGTAGCCGGTCTTGACTGTGCCATAGAATGCCGTTTGCTAATGTGAAGGAAAGAAACAAATCAGGTCTTTCAAAGAGCTGCCAACGTGCAATCCTAAATACACCATCACTGAGCTTTTACTGACTTTCTCGGTGAGACAAGGAAATTGTCCTACTCCATTCTCCTAAAAAAATCTCCAACTCCTTCACCCTTTAAAATCACATCCAGTAGAGTATGTGACTCAAATACCACCAGCGTGAATAAGATGAACATGTCCAGTTGCAGTAGAGCTTGGATCTCTCCAAAACCAGATTACTCAAGGGAAAAGTTCATGCAGGAAGGAGTCTGATTTGACACTTGCGGAGACAGCTACGTGGTTTTAATCTTGTGGAATAAGAATGACTAATGTTCAGTTAAACGGTGCACTGACACATTGCCTCTGAGGTGGTGAGTATGATGAGCTTCGTCTTATTAAGGAAGTTCGAGGACAGAACTGGTCTGGAAATTGTTTTGCTTTTCTGGAAGCTAGACATTGTGTTTTGCAAGTAAAAACTTAAAATGTCCTCACTGAAATCACAGATATGTTCATTCAGAAATATATATTAAGTTGGAAATTAGTTCATGGCTTTTCTCTGTGACAGCACACAGAGGGAATCTCTGAGCATGGGGCATCACAGGACTTAAATCCAACAGGGAATCCTGGTCTAAATAAAATGGGAAAGTAAGGCAACAAAAATCCATCTCTCCTAAGGCTCTCCAGAAACACTCTAAATCAATATATTTTGATTTAAACTTTAAAAAAGGACGAGAGAACAGTTAGTATTTGGACATTTGTTTTATCAACGAAAAATCTAAGTTTTTATGAGAATCTAACTGTGGAAAATCTTATTTTTCCAGCCCTTGATTGACCCTCCTCTACCCTCCTCGTCACCATTTTCTATAAAAAACCCAAACAACCAGAACCGCAAAGAGCATTTTAGACAGAAAATCTAAACCAAACTTTGTTTGGGAAAATGCTCTTTAATAACAGTGAGGGTTGACATTTTTACACGCTATTTTCATAGGCCTTGACAAGTACTACGTACTTTACAGACCCCGTGAGGCTGAGATGAGTAGTAATCCTCTAGCATTTGCACAAGCCAGCTTGGAGGGGTGTTAAAAGAAGCCAGAGCTTTCAGAGAGTGCAAAGGTTACACTGGTCGTATCTATGTTGCTTCTTAGATCACAGATCTCAGAGATGGCTAAAAGCATGGTGTCTTTACAGCCCCATTCAAAGAATCCGCATCACTAAGAGCTTTTCCACCCAGAGCTAACTAGAGATAGTTTTGTTTCCAGTCTTGTTTGAGTTCAGGCTCCCAAAGGCAGCTGAGACTTTTCCAATAAAAGCAGCCAACTTCCTTCATGTTGATCTCATCATTATCTCATTATCTAGTTTCCTTCTTGATGTCACCAGAGCAGAATTGTTCCAGGAAAGACCTGGCCAGAAGAAGGAGGGAGCTTGTGGTAGGGCACTGAGTTTGAGGAAGAGTTTGTCCCACACTATATCTAGGAGATCAGAGAAATGAGGGAAAGAAAATTAAGACATATCATAAAAGATGTCAGTAGTGGGGTGGTGGATGGAAACTCTTCGGTGTGAATACAGGTATAGGCCTTTTGCTTCTTAGACTTATCCACAGGGGCAAGTTACGCACAGAAAGATCTTGGTGTTATCCAACAAGCAATTCCCTGCCCTTATATTTTTTGATGACCAATCCTTCTTGTGTACAGAGAGATGGCTCTGCATTCAGCTTTAATGTAGGATGCAGGGTCATCTCTGTTCTGGAAACAGCACAGAAGGACTTCTCACCCTTCATTCGTGCCTGCTAATGACAATCACTTCCTATTTTACAGATATCAAAGCAGAGAATTTAACCCGAGATCATAAACAGAATTGGAATTTCACTCAGAGCTCAGATTACTAAAATAAGAGGGATTTAGAGAAGTGAAGGAAACGCATGCCAGGATGCCTGGGATCTAGCTGTAGACCTAGACTGATTTCCAGAATGAAATCAGGCAATTTCATCATTCTTTCTCAGAATTCTCTCTCTGAATTCTAAAAGCCTCTGCTTAATTTCACAGTAACGTGATAAGAGCAATTAGTTAAGGTAGATGCTAAACTGTGATTGATTGAGAATTAGCTTCCTCGGTTTCTGTTCAGTAAACTCTACATTTTTCCCTTGGTAACTTTGTAAGATTTGTAAGAGAAAAAGAATAGAAATGGTGCTATTGAGTCTTTCAGTAGCCCTGCACCCAAACCTGTTTTGGGTTCATGTTGCCTAGCCTAAAGCCACCTGGGCTCCCTCTAGAGTAAATGCAAAGAGGTCCCTTTGGAGAGAAACGTGGGGTGAACTGACCTTGATCTATCTTCCTCACCATCTTCAGAGAGAGCCTACGAGGACACCTGGGGCGGCCCCCTCTGACCAGATGGAGGCACACAAGGGACAAGTTGTGCATCATGTCTGACAATGGGATAGCAAGACACCTCCCCACCCCCCCAATTGCTACTATGTGGTTTTTAAAGGTCAGGTTGGAGAAGGAATCATTATTGCTGCAAAGGTCATAAGTGCACTACTTCGGTGCCTAGATCACCTACTTCCTAGGGACTGACAGAATTCACAACTAAAATCTTACACGCAGCTCTTACATATTTTTCATATTTTTCTTATTGTTTCTGACTTGAGACCAGTAGGCGTTAAAAGTGCACAAAGTGTTTTAAGCATAGAAGGTTATCAGCCTGTTCTGGACCTCATGTCCCATACAGCCTGCTGTTCTCCTTTTTTTTTCCTATTCCCTTTAATTCTTCCTCCCCAAATTGACAGCCAATTCAACAACAACAAAAATCTATTCTTCTTCACAGGCTAGTACTGCATGTTCACCCCCCTCAGCCACCTTTCACACAAATTAGACTTAAACAGCATGACAAAACTGCGGAAACCGAGAGAAAATAATTAAGAAAGAATTAAAAGAACACAATACATGTTCTCTTGGTAACACGGCACTCTGGCAACGCTGCAATCCATTGGGTCGCCAAAGCATGTCCCAGGAATTCCCAAATCCCCTTTGCAGCAGGCGCATAAACCAGAGCTCTTGATGGAGGACCTTCCCAGAGCAGACCCACCACAACGGCTTTCGCAGTGTGCAACTGGTGCCACACAGCTCGATCTGAGAAACGGGAGGCTTGAGGATGTGAAGTGGTGGCTGACCTTGAAGGCAGACTAAGGCTTTCTTCAGCAGAGCCCTGAAGTTCTTTGTGCAGCTTTCCCTGTGCTATTTTCTGTATTCTTGCACTGTTCAGGCTGGCTCAGTTCTGTTCAGATTCTCCATTAACTCTTTGAGTGCCTTGGTCATGTGTGACCGTACACAAAGACCTCTCACCATATGTACTTATTCATTACTGAGATTTCTATGTCCAACATTCACAAACACTGGCATATGTCATACGACAGATGAAAAAGCATGGCACATAGGTTTAATATAAAAATATGGTTGCAGTGAAATATAATTCTTTTCTAGCACAAGCTTTTTCTTGTTGACTGTGGGACAGCGATAGGTGTCTAGTTGATTAGATGTTGAACTTTTAGTTAGGTGAGGTGAATCTTGCTTCTAACAACATCTGTCATCCTCTTTACACTTTCCCCTTCATGTCTTAGCATGCAGCAAACCAATAACAAACTCCTTCCCATGTAATGACAATATGCTATAAAGCTAAATATACCTGGCTCAGCGATTGCTAATTTACATACAGGCAGTATCCCAGAGAGCCTGTGGATTTCCTTACAAAATTCAATAATATTGCATGAAAATTTGTGTGTTCCCTACAGTTTTCTAAATCTTTAGCTGTTTGGGATCAGCAGAGCAGCACTGACGGCAAGTGAGTTATATCCTTTTATCCCTTTTGATCTTTTGATACTTATGTTGGCCTAGAAATACTGGAATCACCATATCTACTTAAGCATAAATTTGGAGGGTTTGTTTCAAAGTTGAACATGGAAAATCAAGCACCTGAATTTATGTGTGGGCATCACAGAGACACTGGTCTGATCTTCTGAGGTGCTGATTTCCTGCCACCCCCCTGGAAATTAAAGGGAGGATCTCTCTGCTTCCAGGATCCTTCCTACTTGAGGAATCAGAGTAGAAAAGGTAAAAATTGGGCACAAGAAGATCACGTGATTCTGATATCGATCCCTGGTAATCATACTGTCTACCCATCCAGGTTTACAAACCTCTTCCGCTGGTGTGCTGTTGGAATCATATCCACAAGCTACGGTATACGGTGCAGGGTACACATCTGTCCAGCCCTGGCTTGTACAATTCCTGGTCACATTCCCTGGAAGAAAGGAGAAAAGGATGATTTAAAAATAAATGTTCAGCTCTCTGTTAAAGAAATGTCTGCCTTTTGCCTACAAGATGAATCACAGAATCACAGAATCACAGAATCGTAAGGGTTGGAAGGGACCTCAGGAGATCATCTAGTCCAACCCCCCTGCTAAAGCAGGCTCACCTAGAGCATGCTACACAGGACTTCATCCAGGCGGGCTTTGAATATCTCCAGAGAAGGAGACCCCACAACCTCCCTGGGCAGCCTGTTCCAGTGCTCTGCCACCCTCAGAGTGAAGAAGTTCTTCCTCATATTCAACTGAAACCTCTCGTGTTTCAGTTTGCATCCATTGCCCCTAGTCCTGTCGCTGGACACCACTGCAAACAGACTGCTTCCGTCCTCTTGACTTCCGCCCTTGGCCTCCAACTGGACTCTGCCCCGCCGATCAGAACTCTCTGGGCCCTGTCATTCAGCCAGTTCCGAATCCACCTCACTGTCCACTCATCCATGAGCCCCTATCAAACATGATTCCTGGGAAATCTACTTTTCCCAGGAAATCAAACTCTTGTTTGAGAAAGAAACACTTCAAAATTTGGCTATGAGGGGAGAAAAACCAGATACTGACAACCTGTATTGCCTGTTTTAATGTGTATACTCAAAAGGCAGGAAGATTTCCTGGACTCTTCAGCAAGTTGAGTGCCTAGGGCCTCCAACTGGCTAAAAAGAACCTTAATTAACATAAGGATGTCTCTCTCCTTCAGCCAAAACTGCCCAAACTACCAAAATTGTGACGTTCGCGTGCCTCTCTGGTCCACCCAGGAATGTAAGGGGGCTGTCTGCTGCAAAGCACTTCTCACTTTCTAAGACATCTCTTGCTTCCTATTCCAGCTGGACCTCAAATAGACGTTGGCTAAGGGCTGTACAGACATTTATCAAGTAAAAGAAGGAGACACCAACAATCTGAGCAGGATAGGCCTTACCTTAAATGGTTTGTGGTCTACAAGGCCAAGATAGGTGTTTGTCAGACAGAAAAAACAAAGCAGCAATACATCCAACAGTACATTGCAAATTCCCCCAAGGCCCACTCTGACCACCGGTCCCTATCCTGTCCATCTCATGCGACTCACATCACTGTGCCATTCCTTTGGTGTCATTTATCACACAAAACTGCCTGCCATCCCTGACTGGAAAGCTGGTGCAATAAACCAGAATGAACAAACAGTAGTCAAAACTTGCTTCTTAGAGGAAGAATTACATCAGCGAAACTCAAGAGTTTGGCAAACATTCCCAGCAATGGGGTTCCTTGCACACAGGAATAATAAAACTTCTGCAAACAGGAGCAAATCAATTATGCAGCTATGAGTCATGAAAATATTCAAGCATCACCTCCAGGAATTTCTGACAATTCAGTCATCTGAACATCTTCCTAACCATAGACCTGTCCTGCACTGAAATCAGCAGCAGCCTATCTCCTGGCTTAATTCACTTCTGGAATCCCCGTGGCAGGTGGATTTTGACACTAAAACTTGCCCCGGTAATTTGTATTTACAACAGAACTAAACCCCATGAAGGCTCTGGTGCCTTTGTTCATTTTACAGCTGCTCCAAGAGAAGTTAACTGTAGCAGTCTGGTGGGTTGCTGTTCCCCATGCTTTTTCTGCACCATCATTGTTTGCATTTCTTTTTACCAGGGTTGATATCAGGATCATAGGAGATCTTGTGCAAACAAATCAAGGACATGACTGTTCAGTACTTTTTTTTTTTTTTTTTTTTTTTTGAAGT